GGTGGTTACAAGCAAGCCAACATCATCATGTATTGAAATTCCAACTCCCCCTCCCCTCCCTTTTTATTAATTCTTTCAAGAACCTCTCCCCCCCTCGCAAAGGAATTGATAATTCAATTGCAGATTGAAACGTCTAAGGGGGGGGTGCGCCCCCCCTTGTAAAGTGAATTGAAAGAGGCTATTCGACTCCTCCCTCGTCCTTGTGAGAAAGCATACCAAATGCCTAGAAAAGACAATATGAAAGTCGATGTTTTTGTTTGTGTTCGGTTGACTCAGCCAACAGCACTTTGCGCTCGTGGCACAAAAGCGTTGCGTTGCTGCCCTCCCTCCGCGTCCCCTTGATCCTTCCCTCGCTTTCGTCCCCACTGTCCTCAAGTATATACTGTATACATAAGTATAGTATATACTATGTATACACACTTTCAAGGCCACATTTATATATATATATATTGAACACATGAGGATCACGTCTCTTCTAAGAAGGGTCCCCACCATCACCTGGTTCCTTTTCGGGACTCCGCTGTCTCGCCTTCTTGGGTTTCTTCTAACCCAAGAAGTGTTTGTGCATGAAACGACGATATTTGGTATTAAAGTAGGGCCAGGGAGACCTCTCAAAGACCACAAGAAGAAGGACAATGGACCAGTCTACCCAGTTCGAGGTGACCATCCATCTCAATCTCATCATCCAGCCATCTCCAGCCGCCAAGGCGGCAGAAACCACTCAATTCAACGCCTTCTTCGGCGCCAAAGGGCACCATCTTCCAGCGAGGCCAACATAACGACGGTGAGGGCGGAACGACACAAACGGGTCGACGCAAAGACCTGTTTTTTGCGGTCCGGTTTTGAACCAACCCGTTGGAAAAAGAACAATCAGAACAGATGCTGCCATGTCGTTGTTTTTTTGGCGATGCTGGGCCATGGCTCCTTTTGTTGCTTAACATACTAGTTACTAGTTGACCCTGCAGTGTGAGTATATTGAGGTCTCACAAATAGTTCCAAGTGCGCGCGAGTCTGTGTGTGTGTGTGTTTTCTCTTTTGGGGCATTCTGACATGAGGGGACTTCAATCCCAGTTCCTAAATCACCCTGATCGATGGTTTAGCAGGCTGAGAACAGCTTTCTTTGTGCCAAGAGTTGGGTTAGTTGATCGAGTTCAAGACACCGGCAGTCTCAGGCCCAGCAAGTGGCTGACGCGAGCCTCGGTGGCTTTTCGCCAGAGAGAGTCCGATGAGACGAGTCCGTGGATACGTGGTCGTTGTGACCATGCAGAGGCTTGGGTGTCTTGATTTCTAGACATGGCCTCAAAGTGAGACTTGAAAGGTAAGAAATCCCGTGGTGTGCTGACGAGGATGGTTTTGTTATTTGCAGCTTCGTTTTGTGCAAAGATTCTGCATCAATAAGACAAATGCCGGGTGATTCATTCAATGAACCTGTGTTTAACTAGGTCTAAAGCAGACATATGTAATATTATATGTAGTTATGCATGAAACGCTGGAAAACGATCAAGAGTCAAATGACCCAAGAACACCTTCAAGGTGGTACAGTACAACAAATATTTTTCTGTTTGCAACCTCAACCTTTTCATGGCCTTTCTCCAGCCTTTGGGAGAGAGAGCCAAGGAAACAGGAACACTTCCACAGGTCCCTGGCAGTATTTGGTTTAGTGAACGACCATCACCCCAAAATGCTTTCACGGCGAATCCGCTAAGGAGAGCGAAGCTTCAAAAGGCTGAAGCTGAGATGTTCCTCGGACGCGCTTGGACGGCTCTGGGGGTCAAAAGGTCCGAGGAGTCTTAGGTGCTGATCTTTGATCTCATTGGCTTCGACAGTCTCTTCGAATTTGTTGCAAAGAGGTCTAAAACGACTCATCAACCGTTAGACTGCTAGACTTGTTTCGAAACCGGCTTCGCCCAGCAGAACACCGTGGCCATGCAGGGAGGCGATCAAGAGGAAGGCGGAGGAGGCGGAGGAGGCTGTGAAAGCTGCAACGAGTCCTGGCTGAAGGAGGGACAATCCGAATAAGAATCCAAGCAGGGACCCAAGGTCTTCATGAGATTGTTTTGCGAGGATGACAGGTAGCCTGTACCCTACCAAAAGACTTATATACAGAAGCTGCCAAGTCACCACCTCTCATTGGAGGTTCGGCTCGTCAGTTCCACCGACCGTCACCATGCGTGGTTTCGAGCGAAGGTGCGGTGACCTGAGCATCGAGAACAGCCCGACTGAAGAAGAAGGGGAGTAGCTATATATGGAGGTCTTCGCGAAGAAAGCCGAACTAGGCAACCCACAAAGACGAAATCTCCATTCCGTTGCCAAACCGTTGCCATTCCTTTGCAATGTGTTGGTCAATACGTTTGGTAGAGGAGTTTTCTCCAAGATATTTCGTGCACGCTCGCAGGCCAAGCTGCCCACTGTTCTGGCAGTGTTGCCACCACCCACCAATTGGGATCGGGCGGGACCAAGGATTTGCTTGGAGAAGGCCACGTACGATTCGGTGACATGCTTGGTGTTTTGAGACAGGTGTGTATATAGAGCCAATACATGTGGTAACTTAAGATGAGATGAACTGATCCACACACAAGACTCAAGACCTTTCTGGGTGGATCGCAGGTATGCTCACCATTCTCTTTTGTTCAGAATTCTCATCCATATCATCAAACCTTTGAGTGTGCTCAGCATTGCTATGCAGGTGTAAGGGTTTCTGCAGGACTCTTTGGCTTTAGTACATGCCTTGTACGGTGTCGCCAGCGTCGCCAGCAAGCAGCTGCTTTAACAGGCTGCAGTCGATGACACACCGCTCCCAGCCTAACCCAAATGTCCTGCTGTATAGGTTTCAGTATCAAAGGCACCTATATGGCTCTATATGGTGTGTACTGGTGTGCCATTATTTTTGTGTGCTGGAGAACAGAACATGCTTGTTTGATGATGTTTGTGTTTTCGTTTAATTGTGTTGTTGACTAGGAGATGGAGATGGTTGTTTTGACCTAGTGACTATAGATATTGGAACTATGTTGCGCAAACATGCAAACACCGAGGTTGTTCAATCTCGCTGAGAGCTCTCACACTCACTCGACTTCCGGAAATTACAAGTCGGACCTTTCCCTTCAGACACTCGAAGCGGAGATTGGCAGGCCCAAGAAGAGCAGAAAGCTGCTGCAGATGCCGCCAAGATTGCGCTTTTGGAGGGTTCGTTGACGGTTCACCTGTTTCCCACGGCAAAGGTCATGTGATGTGGGCTGTGGCAAAGAAAATTGAATGTTGTTCAACAGAGTGCATTTCTTGTTTCCATACAGCAGCTTTGCCATTATGCAAATTTAAAGAAGTTTTCTCGCAAGTGGCCAGACACCTCGTGTTTAATCCCAGAACCGGTAGAACGAAGTGTGTTCGGTGATTTTTCCACACATACAACTTGCATCGGCATCACCCCATGGTCCTCCTTCCAGCCATTACTGATGTTTTGGTCCGCTCGGGTATCTTGCGCGAAGAGCTGTCTCGCATCCAGTGGGGGGCCGTTCAGACCCAGACCCTACCCAGAGAAGCTATCCGAAGGCGATGAAGGCGGCACGCGAAGAAGTGACCCTGGAAGCTTCGTGTGAAGAACCGAGCCTTGTCGGACGGGTGGGATCGAAGCATCGACCTTCGCCGCAAGGAATGGCCTTCCTTCAGCAGTGACCGACCTGAAATACATGCTTTCTGTCCTGCAAAACCACCCATCAACGCAATGAAATGCGGCTTTGGCCACCCATGTCAAATTCCTTGTTGGGAAATTCTTTGTGAAGGCACTGGTACGGTAGATGTTAAGATCGCCCTTTAGTTGCTTGGTTGATGAATCATTGATGAACCATGAATTCCGGTCTATGCTACCTGGCATCAACCCAGGGTGTAGCCTACCAATAACAACCATGTAAAAGATTATAGACTATCACTCTTTTAAAGAGAACGGCCTAAAAAACCATCATCCACTGTTCCTGGTGGTGGGATCGATCTACATCCACACCCCGGACGTCTCCGATCCGCGGAACCCGCGGAGTTGGAGTCGAAGCTCCTCTCAGGACGGGTCCCGTCCAGGCGCGAGTTGGGAAGAACAGGAACGACCAACAGCTCCCATGTACTCCATCTGGATCCACAGACCGAACCTCAGGAGGTACGACTGGGCCCGACCCAGGCGCCGTCTCGTCTCCCAGACACGACCCGTCTGGGACTGCCATATATGCTGATCAGGCCAGGGGTGGTCGTTTTGGGGGTCAATTGATCGGCATATATGGCAGTCCCATGGAGTGTGGGGGAGTTATACTTAATACAACCAAGCGAGTTGAAGTGGCCTGAACAGGACCCGTATGATCACTGGACTGGTGGACCTGTGGGATACGTAGTCGAACTAGGATTCTTTAACCTTTGTTGGAATGGGACCTACGGGTTTCTCAACATTCAGGTTCCTGGGGGTAGATTTTGGAGCAAAGTCACTCAAGGTCTAGGTAGTTGATTGATTTCCCCAAGTGCCTTAGTCCAAGGGACGAAAGAAGCTTCACACAAATACAGAGGGCGTTTGTTAATCAGTACTGCGTTAAGATGTCGAGGTTCATGATACAAAGCTGGAATTTGACTTTGCTTAGGGGGTGTACCCCCCCTTCTCAGATATACCTTTTTTACTTGGAAGTTGCAAGTTTCAATGATTATGGATGTCCCCCGCCACGTGCATACATTTCCCTTGAACCAAGGATCTTTCCTGCGGGCGGTTCCCACCCCCCCTGCCAAATATGAGAAACCAATAAACCTCAAAATCCCAAATCCACCGGTGGCCTAGATTCTGGACCAGTGTCTCCCCCCTTGTTTCATAATGTTTCATCATGTTTCATTTTTTGCATGTTGTTCGATTTTTGTTGCCCCTGTCCTTTTGCCTGTGCAGAAAGAACGGGCCCGCGGCCCGCAACCTTTCCGAAAGTTCGGAGCGAATCATCATGGAACCACGGACTTTGGCCCGTGTACCTTTATATAAACCGAGCCGCGCCACGTCGGGCTTTCTGGCGAGCCGCGTCCTGACCTCGCCGGGAAGAACGTCGTGGCTTCGCCCCGACAGGTGCGGACCACCGTGGTGTCCACACCGGAGGAGAAACACGCTGGATGAACACAGGGGTTTCCACGGAGGTCGCACTGGATCAGCATCCCAAACAGAACTGGATGGCAAGCAGAATTTGTGGTTTGGTTCAGTGATGTATCCTGTGTATCCTCCAACTTTGTTGGCTGTCACACGCTCTGTGCTTGGTTAAGCGCCACCATACTTGGCAGATCATCTTCCACGATCCGTCGCACATCTATCCGGCAGATGAGCCGAGCCGGGCTTCGGGCAAGGCACGTCACCGGCTCGTCCAGGAGGCGGACATGGTTCTTGAGAAGCTCTTCACCTTGACGGATCGCTACCACGCCATCGACACTGAGGTGATATATGTTTTGAATCGAGACCGCATCCCATTGATCGTCAGGAAGAACTGACCCGTCGAGCACCGGGGTTGCCAGGGGGGGTCTTTTGAACCCATAATGTCGACGTAGGATTAATCAACCTCCCCCCCTTCAAGGTCAACAAGGTGAACAAGGTTTGAGATTGGAGGGATTGGAGACCACATCCCCTTAATAAAGATGATGACCTGATGATGGATGATGGATGATGAGATGAGGACAAGATTGGGAAAGATTGGGATTAGGATGATTGGGATGATTAGGAAAGAGATCAATGAAAGAGATTGGAAGACAATATTTTGTCTGATTGGGCTGATTAGGACATATTAGGAAAAGAAAGAGGATTGCGGGATGAAAGAGATGGAAAACAAGATGGAGGCCAGAGGGTGGGCTTGATTAATAGGGGAGGGGTCCCTACTATTAGGGGGTGGTGGGGCCTGTGTGAGGGGTAGGTACCCTTTGTGAGTTTGAAAACCTTAAGATGTTGATAGAGTTTTAACAAGGGAAAATGACAGAATTTTGCTAGCATTTTTTTGCATTTTAACAGGGAAGGATGAGAAGAAAAAGCAGGATGAGAGGCAAAAGGACGATGATAATGATATATAATGATTGATGATTGGTTGATATTGACTACTAGCAAAGAAAGAATTTATATAAATAAAAACAAACAATATGAATACAGTTGTATTATGTTTTTGTCTGGTGCAGCTGGGCTTGATTAATAGGGGGGGTTCTGGCAAGGAACAAAAATTATCAGGGGGAGGTTGCAGGGTTTTAATTAGTTTAGTATTGGAGGCTCCAGCTGGGCTTGATTAATAGGGGGGTTGGTTAATCCTAGGTGCGCATTAGAGGTGAGAGGTTTCACGATGAAGTTCCTATCTTAGTTCACTTGGCGCGTACAAGCTGGCGTTCGGAACTGATGCTTAAAAGCATGCGTTCTGGGACTGCACCTTCCACACGGATCCTTTTTTGGGGTGTACAGGGACATAAATCCTTTTGTTGTGTTCAGTGACATGGATCCTTCAGGGTTTTTAGCAAGGGTTACCTTGTTATGATTTGTTATGGTTCAGGAACATAACTGTTTTGGTCTTCAACAGCTACCATCAAGCCACCAGGATTCCTTTTCCAAAGCCCCCCAAAACGGATTTGGGGTTACGGTTACCTTGCCATGATTCAGGGGTTACCTTGCCATGATTCAGGAACATAACATTGTTTTTCCAAGGCTATCATCAAGCCACCTATATAGATCCTTTTTCCAAGCAAATTGAAGCTGCACTTCTGGCCAATTTTGACGCCTTCGCGAGAAGCAAAAGGTAGTTTCACTTATGTGAAACAAGCAAGCTTCTTTTTGGAACAGGAGCTTTTAGGACAGGCAAGCATTCAAAATTCTAAATGTTCAAGGAACTTCAATGTCAATGTCTGAATCCTACTTTTTGGGTCCTTGGGGAAAGATTTGGGGCTACATAGTCGCATCGTTCCCAATCCCTTTGGATGAGTTTTCTATAAGGCTCCTTGATGATAACATCCAAGTCCTTTTTGCTGCTCGAGGGAAACAGGTTTTGGGAACTACCACAGCCTACGTTCAGAACTTACGTTCTGAACGCGATGCCGCAACATGTTACATTCTACGGGCCGGGGGTGTCCAAGGTTCCTATCAAGTTCCTATCCCAAAAGATGATATGGCAGGAGTCGGTACAATGATATATGTACCCCTGATCTATTGTCCTATACCCAAGACATCCCAAAACAAATATATGGTTCCATCCATTGGGCATCTCGGCATCGCAAGCTGCACAGAGCGATGTTTAAAATTTGTTCATGCCAGGTGCGTGGTTGGACACCCGGCACGAGTCCCTACTTGAAAGGAGAGGCCGAGTAGTTCGGCCATCGATCTCATTTTTCCGGTCGCTTCGACTCGCCGTTCGGCGACTTAAGGGAAGAAACGGTCACCTCGGGCCTCGGGGTCACGTCGCTGAGCTACAGGCAGTCAGTTGAAGTTCCAATCAAAACCAATCAAAACTTAATATCAAAACCATTCAAAACCTGTCAGTGGAAGACATGTTTTTGCTCGGAACACGAACAGATGAAGGACTCTCGCTTCACCTCCGATCCGAATGGATGGGTTTCTTTCCACATCCGATCCGTAGGGCCTGTCGGTATTCCGGGCTTCACCCGTCTCCTGCGGATCCGACTTCGTCTCCTTGTCTACGTCTACTTCGCCACAAGCCGCCTTGGCCGAAAGTGAACGGATTCTTTCAGGACATCAGGATACATCAGGACATCAAAGCTTCAGCTTCCTTCCTGCTTGACAGTCAACTCTTCGCATCGCTTTGCACCGTAGTGCGAAGCGCAATGCTTCGCATGTTTGGCTGCTGGACTTGGGACCTTGATGGTCCAGCCAGCTCTTGTTTTGTGCTCGCTCAAACACATCACACACAGGCAGCTTTGGGGATGGACCCAAGTTTTGTCACTATGACATGACAAAAACTTGATAGAGTTGACCCACAAACCGTCGCCGTGGTCGCCACCGCCCTTTTGACATGTTGTTTGTGGACGGTGTTTGTTTGATGTTGATATCTGGTAAAGTAGCCTTGACTGCACGGAAATCCATTGCGGCGCGCGCTTGCACACCACAGGTCTTTTGCTGGTCCATCTATTGTGGTGACGACGTGGACTTTGGCAATGGCCCCAGGCTTTTCATCAACAACTTGAATGAGGAGAGCATGATCGACTGCCATTCACGTTGATATGCACCCGGTGACCTGGACCCACAAGAGGTGGGAGAGGACACCCGAAAGAACCTCTAAGTACTGTATCTCTGAGGACACCTTTGTGGGGTGTTTTTAGAATGGTCTCGGTCTAGGCGCAGAGAGGATTGACTTTACATGGCGTTCAGACCTTTGTGTTGACCTTGGCCCTGTTGCTTCCCACTAGCGGCGGAAGCTTCCGCACGACCGCGACGACGCTTTGGTGCTCCGCCTTTGACGACCTCCAGGATGGAAGCTTAAAAGGATTGGTGGAGTACTTCAAGAAGACACTGGGCTTATGGGACCTGCGGATGTGCACACTCGAATCAGTCGACTTGTCTTTCCCCAATGACCCGGCAGAGCTCATTCATCAGTGGAGTAAGCGGACCGCTGACTCAGAGGAACACTCGGAAATGGCGGCGGTCCTGTGGGCCACATACAACAAACACGACCAGTGGGATCCCGATGATACCGCCTACATGGACCCCGTTTCCACCACTCCAACTGATCGGCATACCATACATGGAGTGTTTGGGTTAAGGACCTTCACATGACCATGGGTGTCTCTATACCGCCTGTCTCAGAGGAAGCCGTGGATCCGACTCAGTTCTTTAATGCTCCAACGACCGAAGGTGGGACGGTTCGGGTGGGTGCCAGGGGGGTGGAGCGGAGTTTTTGGGAAAGAAAGGCCACTTTGATGAATCAATGCCCACTGCTGGTGCCAAGATTTAGACCTCCTCACCACGTCCCACGGTCTCACCAACAAAAAGAAGACTTCGCGACCGGCGACCACGAGAGAAACTGCTTTAGTCGCCTTTTAAAGCGAGATCTTAATAGCTTCTTGCTCCTAGTAGTAAGGCCAGGAGCCCCTAGTAGCGTCCTTGCTCCTAGTAGCGATGCCAGGAGCGCCTAATAGCTTCTTGCTCCTATGCAAATGGATGGATGCCCAGGTACTTGGAAGATCCCAAGATCTCCAAGGCGCGATCGAGTGAACCTGCATGATAGCCAGGCGAGCCTCATCAACCCAACCAGCTTTTCTTTGGAGACCCCGACCCCCAAACAAAAACCAACGAACGGTGCGACGGTCGTCCACATCTGGCGCTGCACACTCTCGGCTCTGAGAAAACGACCGTCGGCGCAGACCCCGCGCGACGGAGCCAGGTCTTTCAGAACTATTCCTTCGATCGGGCTCAATTCTTCCGACACGGCTGCCGCGTGGTGCGGAGCGCCTGGGGGACTTGAGGCGAAGTTCGCCATATTTGGGGCGAAGCAGGATGGCAGAAGTATCGCAGATTGCGTGAATGAGTGGTGAATGAGGTGGAAACTAGATTGCGTAGCTGGGTGAAACACCGTGTGGCTTTTGGCATTTTGAGGCTTTTCCTGAAATACTGGCCAAAGTTGTTGGACATGGCCTTTGTTTTAATGTTTACAGCCCAACAACTACTGTAGGATGGAATCATTCCCTTTTTGATGAACAGGGCTCGACTCGATAGAAAACACATGTTGGACCGCAAGCGAAGAACATAAGCGAAGTGTGCCAAAGTGGGCGCCGTCTTTTTTGGCCGTTTGGTGCAAAGGATTCTAGATGAAAAAGGGTCAGGTTCCCCACATCCGGAACATCTCCTCAACTCATGAAGTCTTCATCTTGCCATGGCTCGCCTGAGGCAGGATTTGCAGGAGATACAATGCCTTGCCCTCAGTTCTTGTTCAAGTGCAGAAGAGACCTTTCGAAGTAACCAGCTGATCATTTCACTCGCAAGTCATTTTTCACAGTCACCGGACCCAAATGCTGCTCAACCCTAGAGCATCCATGGGACTGGAAGAATTAGATGACTTAGATTGAATTAGTTACCATGCAGGGTCATAAATCGTACATATAAGTTTGGCCTTTTGACATAAATTCGAAAAAGAAGATCATTGGTATATATTCTATCTCCCGGAGGATTTATACCATTTATATCTAACTTTACGTCTTGTCTTCGCTCCCGCTACCCGCCCGAGCCGGCGAGCCGCCGGAACCCGGTGTGCCCGTCCTCCGGTGTCGTTCCGTTGCACGGCACTCATGGCTCAAGAATCCCAAAGGGTCAGCACATGGTCAACACGGCCGAGGGGCTGGAGTAAGTCCAAAGTAAGTCCTCTTCTTTCAGATCGATCCATCAATCCTCGACGAACCCGCCGGGTCGAGACATCAGCCTCGCCCTCGACATTTCGGTGTTTTTAAGTTTTTCTCCGCCGGAGCGCTCATGGTCATGGTGAGGCATTTGGCACGCTTGCAGAATTCCGATGCAGAGAGCTATTCCTTGAAGGATGCGGAGTCATGTGAGCTGGTGTGTGGTGTCAGCGTGGGTCACGTGGAGAGCATGTTGAGGCAGCCAAAGCACCACTTCGTGAGAGGTGGCGAATAGATGCTATAGATAGGGTGCCTGCCGAGTAACGGACTAATAGAGCGTCTCCAAACTTTCTGGTCAACTTGGCTGGAATTGTTGGGTTCCTTATAGGTCACAGGTCTTAGTTAGTTGTTTGAGCCACATCAACCTGACAAACCTCAGCCCACCGCAGTAGACAGTGCTTTTTGCATGCTTTTGGCGGGTTTTAGATTTATCATAATTTATCCAGTAATTGTGGCATATTGTGGCAAACATTCTTCTAAAGGGTTTACTAATTCACAATCCACATTTTGATTTGTCGTGTTTTTGACTTGTTGCTTGGGTGCCGGTCGAGCTCAGCAGGAGCTGGGGAGGCGCATCTTGGATGAAGCATGGGTGAAGGAAGACCTGCCACGGCTGATGAGGGAGGCCCTCCCAGCTGCAAGTGTGAGCATGGTTTGATCTCTTTTCCATGAATCAGAGCGTGTGGGGTTGGAAAAGGCCAGAGTCTTTGGGCTTCACCTCGTTTTGGCACCTGGGACCTCATTCGGGACCTCAACAAGCACGTCCGAATCGCAAGGGCCAAGCAACGTGTCCCAGTCAACTTCACTTGCACGAGGAGTCGACAATTCGGTTGGGACGTGGGTCCCTGGGTCGAGTCATGAGATGGGTCAACCGGTCAACCTGACGTTATTGCGGACAAGGTGATTGAAAGAGCCAGGTTGAAAAACGGACAAGTTCTTGTACGGAGACTTAAAGAATCTTAAGAGATGTCCATAAAGTAGAATCAGTTGTTTCCAGATCCCTTCAGCAAGTGCAAGGAAGAAGGAAGTTCCAGATCCGTGACATGTGCACTGAACCACCCAATGAACAATGCCAACCGCAAACTGACTCTCCAGAAAGAAAATCATCACGGTCTTTGCTGAACATGTTGCGCTTCTTGAGCTGGTGGAGGATGATCGTCCTTATCTTCAAATGCTTAATTGCGTTATTGTTTTTGTTCTAATCTTATCATAATAGGTTGCCTTGTCTCCGAGTCGCTAGAGGTTTGAACCTTTGAGCATCTTTGAGCTGAGAATTATTGAGCCACGGGTTTCAGGTGTTTCATGATCAGGCATGTTTGCCATGTGTTATTTTCATTACGTACAATGATATGCACACCCGTTCAACCATGTTCAACCCCTCAAAAAAGTCCTCATCTCTTTCTTCCTATCCAGTTGCAGCCAGTTCCTCACGTCACGCATCGCGAGAAAGAGGACTTGAATATCCGTGCATCTTGGGTCGACTACTCCACCTTCGACACTGTCGTGACCTGGAGAGTCCACAAGGCGGGACAGAAGGCGATGTGTTCACCGCGTACACCGCGATACACCGCGTCGTTCACCTGACACCGCGTCGTTCACGCGTTGTTTTATTTCTTTTTCCGGGATCTGGTGATCTGGGGGATTTGGTGGTTGGGACATGACCGCATCACCTGGCAGAGTGAGTCACAGATGGCCTGACCGTATCAAGATCGAATGAACCATTGATGCTGAGGATTCTTCATGCTCAACAGCGTGCGGGGGTATGCTATGATCGCTCCTGGTTCCCATCCCCCCGGGTGTGGTCTTTCCGGCGCCTTTTGACTGGAAAGAGGACAGACAACAAAGGAGAGCCTCTTGGAGTTCGTGTTCAGCAATGGCCTCCAACCTATATAACAGCACCTTTACTTTGGAAAGAGGATGAAAGAGGTGGTACTTCACTTTGACTCTTTCGCTTGTAGTGATGAATTGGACACGCATAGATACTTCATTTGAGAATGGCCCTTTATCCGAAGATCAGCACTTTGGTATCCAGGTCAGATGTCTCCGCTGAGCTTTCTAGAAATATAGAGAAAAAGGATCACCAACCAAACATTGCTAGCACAAATCCCCGACAAAATAGACGACTTTTAGGCGGCAGAGACCGGTAGAGCCAAACATGCGGGCGTTCTCACCCGAAACAAGGGTTGCCAGCAATCGGATCTTTTTTCAACCCCCAAATAGATAGAAAGTAGATCCCCGCTAAACATGTATTGGAAAGCACTCTATATATCTATTTGGCGATCACTATCAACTCGTTGCTTAAACTGCCCATCAAAGTGAATCACTTGTCAAAACTAGACGTTAACGAATATATCCCCCTCTCTTTCTCTCGACCAGATACTGGTGTGGCACAAAAAACGTGTGTTATTGTCGAGCTTTCTAGCGAGAAGGGGCTTCCGCATCTCGCTACGCCTGCGACGAGGAATTGCGATACATGTTGTCAAGGAAGCGCCTTGACCAAGGCAGGGAGACGCCACGAGCTGCGCGAGCTGCATCGGATGGGCGTTCTTCCGAAAGAAGCAGATCAGCTAGACAAAGACTTGGTCATGTTTGGTGGTTGCAAAGACTTGTAAAGGGCCATAATGTAATCTTGCACAAACAGAATTAGAGCTTAGCATGTGTTTGTTTGGTGTGGGGCGGACGCAGTGGAAGAGTTTCTTCTCGTGGACGAACATATTCCTGAAAGAGACCTTTTGTCCACTCGTCTTAGGTTCCTTTTCATGACGCTTGGCCGAACCAACGTTGGGGGTTCGTGCCCGAAGCGACTGTCGTTTGCAACCAACGGTCACTTTGAAGAACCTGGTCCAGGTAAGTCAGACACTTCATTGGAAGGAATACACGCCTACATTGTGACTTTGACCATTGACCTTTTCAGTCTGTTTAAGTAAAGTATGTCATTGTTGCATGGCCTCCCTCTCAGGGGTAGTTGAGAGCTAGCGACGTAGGGGGTCTATCAATAGCATTTAATAGCCCCGCCTTAGAGGTTGAGGGCGTTGATTAACCACTCTGACTGACAGTGGGTCCAGGTAGAGATTTACTAAGAGTTCCTTCTGTTCTTGACTGCTCAATAGTGTCCTCGTGGCTCCTGCAATGGCACATTCATGCGATCGCTGTGGTTACAGACCTTTGTGGTATAATGTGGTATATATGTGATTGTTTGTTTTTCCGCAAACAGTGTGGGCACACTGAGGGGTTCTTACGGTAGGTGAAAAGCAGCTGATGTATAGATCGCTGAAGCGCGCCGGCGTGAACGGCTAATTTATTGCTATTTAATTAAGTACATTCATGCCGCTCGATATCGTCAATGTGCATTTCAACTGCGCAGGCTCGCAGAATCTGAGGCGGGTGCTTCTGGCGACTGCGCTCTTGTTGTGGTGCCGTGCGCATTTTCGGACGTGGCGGTCACTTTTCGTGGCAGGCGCAAGGGAAACCTCATGTTTTGGTGCTCCAAAGTCGACTTTTCGTGACAGGTGCAAGGGATCGGAGCTGTTTTACTCACTCACACTCACTTTCATACACACTCACTCTCACTCACACTCACTCTCACTCACACACTCACACTCACACTCACACTCACTCTCACTCTCACTCTCACTCTCACTCTCACTCTCACTCTCACTCTCACTCACTCACTCTCACTCTCGCTCTCACTCTCGCTCTCACTCGCACTCTCACTCTCACTTTCACTCTCACTCTCATCTCCGACTCTCACTCACACTCTCACTCACCACCATCGCCACCGTCACCACGATCCCCACCTTCATCACCACCATCACCTCTCTGGACCCCAATGCTCTAGATCTCTAGACTTTCTGCTTATATAGACCTCACACACACACTGTTCGGGGTCTCTTGCCGGGATAATTTTGTTTGGGCTTTGCGTTGGTCTTTCGTGTTTGCTTTAACGCTTTGATCTTGGAACCGTCTTGGATAGGAAGCCTTGTCGACTTCTACGACAAGTTCTGGCTGCCTTTTGCAGAGGTCTTGGTCCACATTGAGGACCGCCCCACGGTGATTTCGGGCCGGAGTACTGTCCTACCAATGACAGATGTTGAACAGGTAGTTAGCAAGGGAAGCACCTTGCTTTGCCACAAGTTTGGCTGAACCAGCTCATTGATGTAAGAATTCCGGTCTTGGGGTTTTCAAGGTCACGCATAAAGAAGAAAACGAAGAATGTGTTTAGGGTCTAAAACTCACCCTCTTAAAAAAATGGTGGGGTTTCATCAGACAAACATTGTCGGCTCCACATTGATATTTTTTATCTAGATCCCTGCGTCGCACCAAGTGGAGTGAGTCTACCACAGGAATGCAGCGCTTGGCACGCCCCGCTTGAGCCCCACTCCCGGGCTGCCAGCCTGCTTTAGCGGACCAGCGGGATTTTCTGGAGGCGACCGATTGGTCGCCTGTTGGATCACACCCAGACAAGAATCATGTTCACGGCATTGAATGGTTTCAGCTGGCAAAACACGTTTTCAACAAAGAATGCAGACCGTTTGCCCACCACATGTTCAGGAAAATAAGAACAAACTAAACATGCGCGTGTCTGACGTGAACGGTCGTGGTCGTTAACCGTGCAGCGACGGGACGACACCGTCGACTCCGGGAGATCGACGGCCGGTCAGTCACCAGGAGCGGGGTATTTGCTTGGACCAAGACTTCCTGCGGGAACAAATGAAGGCCCGGCCGTCTTCGGAAGGGTTCGTTCGGGTGGCTTTTGCGGACTGACGTCTTAGGGCGCCCAGGATACGGGTGGTGCAGGGGGGGATGGAAAAAAACATCGGGCTGGGGGAGTCTACAAACGACCCGAACTGGGTGCTTCTGGACATGACCTCCGTAATTTTTATCGGTTCAAAAGGAGAAGGACTAGATTTTAAAACAAAGAACACCTCCCACAGATGGTTGAGGCACTGCCTGTTATCGATGCATGTACGTAGTTGCCAATTAGTTTCCGAGGTGTCCAGTCATTGATGTTGGGGGGCCACTTGTCTGGGTCCTGGGCCTTGGATTTCATGTCTTTAACAGAGTGCCAACAATTTTTTGTGTGGAACAACTATACAACCAAAAGAGTTTACAGTAACCACGGCTAAAAGAAAGATTGTAAGAACTTCCCAGAAATGTGTTCAACTCTCACCACCCTCGTGATGGCTGAATTTCTTACACTCTGAGTCACTAACATGGAAGTGGACAACCCCCAGTTCGCAAAGGAAAATAGTCTTCCAAGATCTTCCAAGGGACCATCGGACCATCTTCCATTTCTATGTTTGTGTGTCAGAGTGTGCGTTGGCCATCTCTCCTGCCACGCCCATCCTCCAAAACAAGCCTGGCAGCCTGGCAGCCCCTTCGGACGTTGGCTTTGGAGAGCTGCAACGATCTTGGCCGGAGAAAGAAAAACCAGGTCGTCCGACGGTCTCAAGGTGCGGTCTTGTCCATCAACGCATCGTGCGGTTCGGTCTCCTCACTCTCGGTCTCAGTCTCGAAAAGAAGGTGGCCGCCCAGGCACCCTCCACTTGTGTGGACCCAGAGGCATATGTACTTCAGCAGGAATTATGTCATCTTGCATTACACTGGACTAGCATCAATACACGGATGTCCCAAGGACAAAGCAATGGTCTTGCTCAAAGCTTGTTGCCGACGTGACCCAGTGCGATGAAAGAGCCAGAGTTCTGTCCTTATCAGCAAAGTTGGGCCTGATCCGCATCCCTGACATTATCATGCGCGGAAGGCAGGCACGGCAAAGAGTAGCAGGACGCGGTAAGCTCTTCCACCGGAAAAATCAGAGCAGCCGCATTACAAGGGGAGTTGTTTCAATGCACACTTGAAATATTTCAGCTGCTCAACCAAGTACAGGATTTGAGTGAGAACTAACGGGTTCCGCGCGCTATAGTCCTCAAACAAATTTAAGACATTCAAGTCACCCTTTTTCAACGGAAATTGTTTACCCATGCTTTGCAGGTAATCCACGTAGAGTTCAAGCCAAGTCGTACTGAAATCAGACGGCTGCGAGCTCTTCGGCCAGCCGCCAGCCGCGTACATGTCATCAACAGCCGGTCTCTTCCAAGAGACCCAGCGCTGAAACAGGACACCAGTCGCATGCAACACAATAGCCAAGGGAGCAGAAAGTCACACCTTATCCCGAAAGAAAGAGGTCCAGGTACAATGTACAACAAATCAAAGAGTCGCCATCCCATTCAGGTTACATCATACCCGCCCATGGAACTCCGGACTTGGGGCAGGTATTTTATATACCTCATTATGCCCGCTCTTCCAGAGCCCCGCTTGGGGTGGGGGCTGACCCAGGTCGCCATGACGCACTTGAAGGAGGACGGACGTGGCGACCAACCCGGCCGCGCACCTCGCGGAGCGGACGAGTAGAATGTATCCCATACGTTTGCTGGAAGAAGAGTAGAATACGTCAGCCAATGTGTTCGATCCTTGTTATGTTTTGTTAGCTTTGCTTTTTTGTACTTGGATGTAATTAGTTGGGTTCAATTTGATGATGTTTACGATTGAGAATGGTAAACTTATGTGGGTCAATGTGGGTGTCATGTGCATTGAAAAACATCTTGAAGATGTTTGAAGGGTATACCATTCTCCCAACAATTGTGAGGGAGGATGACTTAACACCACACGGTTGCGCAGAACATGTTTGGCCGAAGAGTGCCGACCGTTTTTCGGAGCTGAGACGCTGAAGCTGAGAACACCTGTGAGGCTGCCGAAGCTGAGAAGGCCTATACCCCAAAGTCCCACTGATTTGGTTCAGTAAGGTCAAAGGGATCTTTCAAAATGTTCAGTAATATGTAAATTGAACGATTGGGCACAGTAGATTTACGACAGCAGGGCCTGGGTACCACTCTTTTGATACAGAACTTTGTTTTGGTTCATGAGCCTTGAGGAGGAGGAGGCTTTCCTTGACTTTGTACGCGCCGCATGGGAAGAGAGCAGCACTCAGGGGAATACTTCCAGCAAAGCTGGAACAAGTGATGACTTTCAGCCCGTTTTCAAGGAATGAGTGCATGTTGTTTTTGTTGTTGTCGGATGTTGTTGTTGGCTGTTGTTGTTGAATGTTTTTGTTGTATGTTGTTGTTGGATGTTGTTGTTGTCGTTGTTCATTTTTTTGTTTGTTTGTTTGTTTGTTTGGTTGGTTGGTTGGTTGGTTGGTTGGTTGGTGTTTCGAGTTCCTATATAGATGAGAAGACACAAGGAGACATTGACGGCGGCTGTGTCCGTTTCTCGTTCATTTGGCGACTCTTTTGAGCCTTTTGGAGCGTGGTTCCTCACACAGGCCTCCTAAGACTTCATCCCTGAAGTGGAGGGTGTTGGAATTGCAGTCCGCAAGGCGATAGAAATCAACCCTTTCAGAATGTTTAAGTCTTCTTGGAGGAAGACTTGTACAAACATGTTGTGCAGGGGGTAACTGATCAACACAGAGGCCGCCCCACTAGATCCAGATAGATCGTGTCAGTTTAAGTTGAGCATGCTTCTTGGGGTGCAAGCTGGTAGCCACCAAAAAATTCTCGCAACTTGTGAACAAATGGTGCAGCACTAATACTGTACCTGTGTTTAAGCGATCATTTCAATTTCTTACTTTAAACTTTCTAGGGTGTTTGGGGGAGAGTCTAGGTAGGAAGACAAATTCCATAAACCTTTGCGACGGTGCAGCAGCAAACGCTTCAGGCGATATCCTGGTGATGAGCGGTTGAAAGAAGGGATCCAGCACCTTGACTTCTTTGGAGCCGGGTCCGAGCTTGAAGATGCATGAGTGCACAACCGCCTGAGTATGGACAGTTTGTCATGCCTGGGTGTACTAGAATCGAGAGATCCCCAACTAGTAGTTTGAGGGTTGCATTTTCACCCGGTCTTGGGAACTGCATTCCCTTGCACCAAAACTCATCCCACCTTGAAAATTGGGGGTTAATGGTGCTGACCACTGGTTCACTCGCGTGCCAGGAAGTTCAATCCGAACAGCAATCTCCAGATGAGGCGCAGCCGGTTTGCAGCATTGTGAACACCCTGTATGGAAAGAATCTTCCACAGAGCGTCTCACGGCAGACGACGTCTCGATGTCATCAATACTTGAGGTCCCTCGATTTGATCAGATTCCATCAGATTTCTTAGACTCACATGGCACAGCTGGCTAAGGGCTCCGCAGGTCCACAATAACTGTCGATGTGTCGGACGGTTTGATCTGGAAGTCGTATCGACTAAATTGGTGCGTCCAGCTTTCTTTCTTCGTCATTTTCCGACTGCAACAGTTCTACACCACACGTCTGGGGCTTGCAACCAGTTTTTACAATCTCCAAACCTACACTATCAACCTGCAAGCGGCGCGGGTTGTAGAACTGTTCCGACTAGCGACTGGTCTACCACAGGCAAAAAAGGGTGTGGATGGTGCTCAAGTCATTTTGGGGGATGTGTCGCATCTGTTTCACCAGTGTTTTGTGGCACCGGAACCCGGAAGGAACAGGTCCCGGTGCCAACGCCAACCGGGGTCTGTTGAACCCCACCACCCCGGCGGGTCTGTGGCGGTCGGTCGCCCGGTGGGGTCCGGAGCAACTCCGAGCTCAACTGGTTGATCGAGCCAGGTCTGCTCTCCTTCATTGAAAGCTGGTTTCCGGAACGCATTCACATTGATGCCCAGGCAGTTTCTCTACGGCCAAGAGATCAAGGCGGAGGGTTTTATTCAGATTTGAAGGGATTTTCAGGTTTGAGGTGTCCTGTTTCCTGCTTTTGAGCCATCTCATTGAACGTGATCCCTAGGACCAGCAAGTCCCCATGTGGCTATTGGGTTTCGAACCAGGGATAGGTTTAACTTTCCAACCTCTATCAAGCATCGAATTATTATGAATTATTCAGTATGTTTGGAGTGGAGCAGTTGGAGGCCATCGCTAGTAGGTTGGAGGCCATCGCTCTTAGGTTCCTTTTGCGCAGCTTCGAGATCCTGAGCGAACACTGATTCGGATCCAGAGAGTTCAACTCGTGGGGGAAACACCATGGCAAACTCTACAACCATGGCATGGCGTTTGTGTGGGTTTCTATGGTGAGCATAGAAGCTGACGTGTTTTCCCATGTTTTCCATGTTTCTCAAGGCACAGTCCCTCTCAGATTCCTCGAGGTTACAGGATAAGTCTTAAGTTAGGTTGATTTTTGTTGCCTTCCTTCTCACCCACGCCCTCAAACAGATATTTGCAGTTCACTCACTCCAAGGTCCAAATCCAAGTCTACATGCAAACAACGTACTGTAGACAAACATTTGCAATTTATGCAAATTGCATACGTATAAGTTAACAGGTTTGCTTTGATAGTTCGGGGTGACTATAAAGATGCTTGATGGAGGTTGCCCACTTGGTTTATACCCTACCACACTGTGCTTCCATCGGTTTTTCCATGGTGATGCAGTATCCTGTGGCGGCGATTGGTTTGGGATGGTTCGGGTATGTCAGTGCTTCTCGGATGAACAGCTGTCCATGCCCACCTTGGGGGCTCCACGTCCCCCAAAGACCTGCACATAGCGGGGTTTCATCACTTGTCTTGTCTACATTTATAGCTCCATGAGTGTGTCTTGCACCAAAAGCACTAGACTCATGCGGGGAATGTATAGCAGGGTCCTGTCAACGCCTCGGCGAAACATTCGTCGGTCTTCCTCGTCCGCCTCGTCGGTCTTCCTCGTCCAGACCGTTGCCAACTTCTCGGTGGGTGGCTTGGGCTTAGACAAAGTGAAGATTGGCCGGCAATTGAAAGTGCCTTGGAGCAGTGGGAGGAGGTCCTCGAGGTGCGTGGCGACATGGATGGTTTTTGTGAATTGGACCCAAGAAATGGGCGTGGCTCAAAAGTAAGATCCAGATCCTGTAGGTGTGGGTTGCTTTCCTTAAACTTTCTGAAGGTTTTGGGTGGGTGGCATCCTATATCCTATCTTCCCACTGCTTAACTTAAGACCCACAAATGTTCGTTCGAGGAGCACCTGATATAGCCTTGATTTCACCAATGTGACCTGTTCATACAGCATGGGTAGTCGGTTGAATCCGCAGTCAGGGTAGTCGGTTAGCCAGTCCAATGCAGCGCAACGTGACACTCCCAGGACAGCGCCAGCCGTGAGGCCCTCGGCGAGCGACGCGAACTGCGGATGGGTGTTCGTTGTTTGGTTTATGTTGCATGAGGTCGTAGCATCGTGTGAGGTTTTGCATGGGTTTCCAAGTGTCTAATCCCCACAATGTTGCAACTGCAACCAACCCTGCAGGGTTGACACCTATATACCGTAAAACCTTAATCCTTCAATTTCCACCCTTCTTCGTGACCTGGAAGTGACCTCAACCTCGATGCGAGGTCGATTTCCCCGACGCAGTCCTTTTTGGAGGTTCCCAGTGTCGCAAGAGAATGATTCTCTCAAATTGTCGTTGTCCCTTGTGGCTGTTTGGCATGGACCATTGAGGACTTGGGACCATGGACGACACCCAGCATCCTGAAAGACCGCATAAGACTGCCTTCCAGATGCTTGAGTTTCTCCAGGCTATCGAGAAGCTGGTGCTTCAGAACCCAGAGGTACGGAAGGAACAAAGTTTCGTCCTGACAGCACGTCATGGTTTCGTGTGCAGGGAGACCTCTCAGGCAACGACCTGGAAGGTTCGGAAAATAGACCAGTCTAGCCAGCCACGGCCAGGGGCTCCGGTCCCTTTTTGGGCCCAAAAAGGGGGAGAATCGTTTGGACCGGAGATAGAGAGTCCATCTTGGGAAGCGGTCAAAATATCCAGTTTATGTGTTTGTATATCGCTTTTTGTTTCTTTTTGGGTTTTGATGGGTTTGCTTTCGGGTATTGGTCCTGAGATGTATTTCTCTGGGCATGTCGGCATGTTTTACATATGATGTAATTAAGTTTTAGAGCCGGAATGGAGCTACGCCCGTTTTGAACTTGGGGTTCTTGTCCTTCTTGTCGAGTACGGCATGTCACATCAGCCGCAGAGGTGCCCAGCTGGGTCGTCGGCGCCTCCCAGCTGGGTCTTCGTTGTCGTGCACGTCTTTTCCGTCCGCCCCGGACGGCATTGAGGTCCCAGTACCAGGTGCTTCCAACGGGTCACCAATGGACAAGCCTACCCTATACCTATAGGTCTCCAGACAGGGCACCCAATGGAAGTGCTAAGTAGGTCCCTTCCGTTTTCGACTTTTTGTTGAGACACCCAGAGGACCTAGGTCCATTGAGGTCCTCAGGTGTGTTGTTTTTTGGCATGCTGGCATGCCCAGAATTCACATGACTGAGTCTGAGTCTTTCCTTTTGCAGCTCTGGAAACGCATTGGTTTCCGTCAACACAGCGGATGTTCACCGGTTCTCTCAAACGTGTTGACACAGGTTACAACCTGTCTTGATGCACAAGACAGTGGTTTAACTGTTTTAACTCAGACTGGCTTGGATAGAGTCTGAGTGTGAGTTCTTGTTTCGTACATATGTTTACACAACTGTCGGGTCCCACTCTTCTGAAGACATCAAGAAGGGCTCTTCAAGCTCTTCCACTCACCGGTGCCCCCTCGACTCTCCGACCGACCCATCAGGTGGAGGGCTTGAAACACCTCGTGGAGCGGGGCGCCATCGCCAAGGCGCAGGGACCGCACCGGGGGGGGGGGTGAAAACAGGTGTTTTTTTGGTTGGAGAGATTGTTCATAAGTGTTGATTTGATAATAACGTATATATAATATAGTTATATATATAATATAAATATAAATAAAATATTAATATATATAAATTAAATATAACTATATAATTTAATATATTGTTGGTATGATACAAACCTGCTCATGGAACTTGAGACAGAGCCAGACCTTGCAACATCTCAACACCCCGGACCTCCACAGCTGCTTTTCAAATCGCTGGACCCCCGTCGACCGGAGAAAACCATCGGTGGATCCTCATCGGTTGAAAGAAGCGGTCGCCCCTCGGAGTCTTCGCTGGTTGAGCTTTCCAAGTGAGACATGATTATTTGTTGCCTTAAAGATATCTGGGGTCTTTACCTACGCATTCTGCTTAGGTATGCAGAGACCAAACATGTCCTTCAGCTCATGTGGGTTGGTCACTGATCCGGCGATCCGGGCCCAGGCGGTCGGGCTTTTTGGGGACTGGCAGAGAGCTTTGCTCGGCGAAACACGCCTGATCGAGCGCCTGGAGTTTCTGGATGATCCTTGTGATTTGAGCACCACAGAGCATCCTACATTGAGACTCCGCGTCCTGGTGGTTATAGTAAGGGGGAGCCAACCGAATGTGCAAATCAAAAAAAGACAGGGACACACAGGGACCTTTTCTAGAAGCCATGAGTTGGGCACAAAAGGGCACCAAAGGACACTCAGGCCGTCCAGACGACCGTGTCTCGCACACCGCGTCGGCCAGGCCATGTCATTCTTGAGCAAGTTCTCCGACGCCCCTGGCCTCGGATGCCGGGACGGGACGGACGGGACGGACTGGGAATAAAAGGAAGACACCCGTGGAGCGAAGCAACACGAGCGGCACAAGATGGCAGGTAACACATGCCCACACAGCAGGCAAAAGACACATTCCATCACGGCACTGGGCCCTGGTTCGTTTTTGTTGGTGTAGATGTGTTTTGGTTCGTTCATTCTTAGATGGTTTATGCATGTTTATGCCATGGTTTCAGGAAAAACACGTGCCAACGAATGATCCAAGTGTTGCGTAGAATTGGACCCCAAGCAAGAAAACATCATGTTACAGGAGTCACAAGGGGGTATTTTTAGTCCCTAAGTGAGTGGATTATGGGCACCCCTATCCTCCAAGTCGGCCCCCCTTTGTGACTCCTGTTATTTTGCTAGTTTTTTGACTTCTCCCTTTTCGAGAATCGCCACACTGAGGCTACCATTGCGGACTCCGATGGTCGTGTGCACACATCTTTGCCGCTGAGAGCCGACAGTTGGGGACCAGCAGGTTCCCCACCCCTTTTTGTGCTGAGTCTTAGGCCCTAGGCCAATGGGCTTGAAAAAAGGGGCAGGAGAAATGACTATCAGCAACTGAACAACCCCCCATAGCATGATTAGGTGTTTTTGGGTAGTCGATGAGCCTGCCATGACCTATAGGGGTTCCATCTTTGCAAGTGCACATGGCCCTGGACCCAAAGTTTTGAACTAGCTGACTTGGACATCTTTGGACATCCTGCAGAATTCATGCTTCTTATTATTATAAGCTTACAACATCAATTCTTGTGCAACTGCTTGGCAAGTTAAATCGCGTACACACACCCTGTATCTAGAGTCCCACCCAGCAAGTGGGTAGGCCTTAAAAGTGGGTAGGCTCCCACTTCTGCAAAGCTCTCCAGTAGAGCAGACACAAAACTCCATCCACAGCAGACATTTGTGTGTCAGAGACCCACAAATTTGATGAAGTATGCTGAAGTGTCGTTGCTGATGTAAATGTCTTTGCACCTCACCCATGCTAGCAACTTTGCACCTGGTCCATGTGTTGTCCATAGCCTGATGCGGTGAAATTGAAATGGACACCTGTCGATCGAGACATCCGTCCACCACTTGAGGAAAATAGCTTTCGAAAGACTTCCAAACCCAGCTGCGCATTGAGCAACACGTTGAGGCTTCGAGTCCAGTTTTTGGATGCTCAGGAATTTGATGACCCGAACGGGCCGATTGTCCTCCTCCAACCCGAACCTACAGCAAATACCTGCCATGGACAAGGACTGCTACCAGGTGCGCTTGCGCGTACGTGCGCAGAGGCACGAGTGCCTCGAAGGGGAGCTGTTAGGGCACTCCAAACCAGGGTCTTTTGGGTTAATGTCCATTGATACATGGGTGTGTACCACCCCATGCAGTCGCAAAACTCGACCACTAAGCACCCCATGCAGGCAGCCAGGGGCGAGATTTTGGGGGTCTCCGGTCTTCCACCTCCAAACATGAGCCGGTCTTGCTTTTAGGTCTGGCATCCCATTCCAACTCCTGTCCTTTGCCCTTCGGACCGTTCCGCATGGCTCCCCTTGATGCGGCCCCGGAAGCAGCGAGCTTTGGATGCTCGCGAGGTGCGCAGTAGTGTGGTGCCTGCGCCGGGGAAGAGCTTTGTCATCGCTGATTATGGCACTTTGGCCGAGGAAGGATGGATTCTGCCTTTCGGTCGTGTATTTGTTCCAGACAAGAGAGAAGTGAATAGAAGTGATGCCAGTATGGAACAAATATGTATACTAAAAAGTGATGACTAACCATGCTAGACCCATGGAAGGTGGGAGAAGAAGTGAAGGGAAACCTTATCAAACAAAAATACTCAAATGTATCACTTGATTGAGTTCTGAAGACCTGATGGATCTTGCCGTCCAAAAGGATCCGGCTCCGTCACTGGGCGTGGTCGCTGGGCCGAAGGAGTGTTGGAGGTCATGTTGGAGGTTCGTCGGTTCTTCAGGTTTTTGGAGGTCTTCGATGTTGATGTTACACTCAGGTTTTCAGGCGGTTTCAGGTCTTTGATGTCCTTTCTTTAATGTTTTCGTCTCGTCATTCAGCTCTCTTTGGAGGTGGTGCTTTTTTGGTCGGAAGGGCTATCCACTCCGTCCCATCTCCTCGCCCGAGGACAGTTGGACTTGAGGGTCCTCGCCCATACCTCCGGCTGCCCGCATTTGATTGAAGCCCTCTCCACAGGCCGCTTGATGCGCGGGTGCGATGGGCGCACGGATGGGGGCGATGGGTCAAACTGTTTCCGGTGACTTTGAGGGAGACTGAGCATTCCACGGTGCGTATTTGGCGGACTGGAAGAAAACACCTCCTCGCAAATTGGTGCTGGTTTTGCATGAATTCATTGTCCCTTCATCTCCCTTCTGATGCTTTTGGCTTCCGACATGTGTCGACATCGCTTTACCGACGAAGACAAAGACTACCAGAATCTACCAAAGACTACCAGAATCTACCAGGACTAATATGTCAAAATCCTGCGTTCACAGATACCCCTTTTATAGCCCAAAGCTTCGGGCTAGCTGCTTCTGTCCTTTGGCACCGACCGAATGCTGTCCGACTCGCTGTCGAATGCGTGCCGGCCGACGCGGTCGTACCAATGCGAAAGATCAAAGTCGTCACTTTTGTTGGCTCTCACCCAGAACTTCCTTTTTGATCCATTTTGACCAACAGTCGTGCCGGTGGTGGAGCCAACTCCAGTGCCGGTGGTCGGAGAGTCCCTGGAGTCCAAATGTCACCCGGAACGATCCGGAACGTCCTTTTTGACCCATGGACCATGTATGGCCATCTACAATCTACATATCATCTACATCTCCCGTGCTTTCGGCCTTGATGCGACCACCGGTGGCCCAAGCCGCACAACGCAGGAGTGGACCTGCATTCGCACACCGCGGCTCAAATGCGCCGCTGACGGGTTTGGATGAGTATATAAGAAGTTGGAGCTATATAGACCACCCCCAAAAAAAGATACAAGAATTGAAACAGCAGATCCCCACTAAGATCACTATAAGAATGTATTGGAAGCCGTTTCCATCCAGGTGCGGACCACTATTACCCTTCACCAACCTGTGTTGACCAATGAAGCACCCTTGGGACCCTTGAAGGGTGAAGAATCAGAATGATCCTTCGGCCAAATGACGTGGCTTCACCAAAAAGACCGAATCCACCAAACATTTTCAGGTGAGAGAATTGTGGAACATTTTGGATGTCCAAGCTACTGGCGGACGGCCGGATGAGTTGACGCTGCTTTGTTTTGCACGGATGGTCATGGAGGGTATGTTTGGTCCGAAAGATGTATTTATTCAGAAAGGACACTTGATACATTTATATATGTGATCGTTTGATATCGTTTGATATCGTTTGTATAGAAAGCCCCGCAAGAAACTGTGTGTGTGTGTCCACCCCTGGACAAAGGGTTCTCAACCTTCACCAACCG